GGCCTCCCACAGGGAACCCACCAGTCCCGGGTCCCTGGACGCACAGCTACCCACGGCCTCCCACAGGGAACCCACCAGCCTCTGCTCAGCTAGCAAATCAATGAACTATTTCTCTTTGATCTTTAGGTTTCAGTTTGCAGAGCTATTCAGTTTCTCATTTCTTGTTTGTATGTCATTAGGTGTCTCCTTCCTGCCCCTGCACCTACACAGTTGCAGCGTTACAGGGTAACCCTTTCCTTAATACCACAGACTGCTGCCCTGATGTCTGTAGGGGCAGCAGCCTGCATGAGGCATCGTTGCAAGTCTGACAGGTGGCAAGTAGAAAAGACTTAGACCGCTTGGGTTGAAAGTAGAGGGACCTTTCATTTGATAGAAGCCCATATGGGGAGTCTCGATGACAGAGTGACCCCCTCTCTCTGTGTCAGGTGTGAACCACTACAGAGAGGTGAAGAAGATCACCGCCAGCGAGTACCTGCCTCCGCACGTGGTCATCTACGTCGACGTGCCTGTCCCCGAGATCCAGAGTCGCATCCAGAAGAAAGGAGATGTAACTCAGCTCTTAAATCAGAGGCTATCCTTCTGTTTGTGTGCCCTTGTTATTTTTAAACACAGATTAGCACTTTAAAGTCACATGTACATTAGGCTGCTAATACTGAGGGTCCGCCTGGCGTGGGTGCTGCACACAGGCGGTCCTAGCTGAGTGAGCAGACCTGTGTGGGTGGGTGGGGGAGCATCTGGGCCAGCCTGAGGCTGCCCCCAGCTCCGTAACGGCTTTCCATCCCTGGTGTCCATCCTCCCGGCTCCCGTGTAGCCTCAGCATTCTGGAGAGCCGGGTGAGGTCTTCTTCCAGAACTTCCTTCTGCGTCTCTGCTTTGTCCTGTAGTGGAGTTTCCACGTCTTGGTATTTGCCTGCAAAGCGAACATCCTTTTAGTTCTTCACTCTGCCTTGGTAGCACAGATTGTGCTTCTCTTCCTCTTTCCTGCTCCCGGATTCGAGAGCAGGAGAGCTGTGATCTCCAGGAACATCCACTGAGTCTCTGTGGGCTTGGTTGGAACTTAGCAGGTGGCCCAGGAACTCCAAATTTTGAAGTCCCCCATGGCCCTTGTAACTAGGAGGGTGTGATGGGGGAGACGGGCTACCAAAGACCGGCTCTGCCCGCACGCCCACTTCTTATTTGGGAAGAGCACTCCCAGTTTCAGCGTTTTCTCTGGGGCAAATGTGATCTTTCTGACGCTGATAGAAACGCAGGGTGACCCGTGCGCTCGTCCCTCAGGTCCTGTCCTCCGTGCTGGAATTCTCAACAGGTGTTCGGTAAATTGTGAGTGAGAGAGGCTCGTAAGGCCAGCAAAAAAGCCCGATTATCCTTTGCTGCTTCTGAAAGATCACATAAGACTCACCTTCCTCCCCCTGCTTTGGTAACAAGCACATCATTGGCATCTGGTCATCCCTGTTCACTGCTGGTCTGAGCCATTGGTTGATGGAGAGGTTGCCAGTGAGTGTGATGCGCTTTGGACTCTCAGAGCCCTCCATCTAGTGGCCGGAGGTGGGAGCTGCAGGGCAGAACGATTAACTGTCTCTGGAATAATTGTGAACCTTTGCTTGTTACAGCGACATTTGTTGAGAGAAACAAAAGCTCGTGTTCAGAGTTCTCTGGGTAGGCCTTCTGTTATCTGGGATAACGCTATTCAAAATGCTTTTGAGGTCTGAGTTAGGGCTATCGATTGTTTTTTTAGTTTTGCCAAGCAAATCTTAGACGAATACGGTCATCAGCTCAAATTACCACTGTTGTGTAAGAGAAAGAGCCTTTTTATCTTCAGAGAGACGGTATCAGCAGTAAGTGTGCGTTCCTATCTCTGTTGTGATTTCAGTGCGGTCTGCAGTGACTGTCTCGGGGCCTTGTGGCGCAGCCTTTGGGGGTCGTTGATGGGAATGTCCAGAAAACATGTCTAAACTCTGAGAAAACAGGCAAATTGGTGATAACTAAATTTTTATCTAATGTGTGTGGGTCAGACTTCTGAGATAGTTGGGTTTCTACGTCGTAGGTTCATAGTATGTCTGGAGGCCCTTCTGTAATGAGTCTGCGTTTAGTCTTTCTTCACTTGGAGCATAGCTAATGGTAGAGGTTTGTAGCCTTATCACCTGTCTTATAACACGTGGTGATTTCATTCACACCCCTGGTAAATACTGAGTATCTGTCACATGCGAGGCGACTCTGCCAGACATCTTTGAGGACGTGGGGGTTAACAAAGGCTGTCTCTGCCGTTCGCCACGCGGGTCCTTACTGGAAAACAGCACTCCGATCACAGCACTCTGTGGAGAATGTCATCCGCTCTTTCGGCAGTGAGATGAGAATACACAGTTGCCTGGCTCTTGCTTTCCCAGCACCTGTGCTCAGCACTGTAAGTGTCATAGGCATTTAGAAAATGCTTTCTGAATGGTAGTTTGTTTTTAATACTGTTATTGAGATATAGTTTATACTCCATGAAACTCACCCATTTGAAGTGTGCAGCTCAGAGGTTTTTAGTAAATTTACCAAGTTCTGCAACCATCACAATACCACAGTTTTAGAATATTTTCATCATCTCGTAAGTCAAAACAGTAAAAAAAACAAAAAAAACCCAAACCCATTGCCATTGATTCGATTCTGACTCATCGCGACCCTATAGGACAGAGTACAGAGTAGAACTGCCCCATAGGGTTCCAAGGGGTGGCTGGTGGATTTAAACTGCCGACCTTTTGGTTAGCAGCCGAGCTCTTAACCACTGCGCCACCAGGGCTCCAGTCAAAACAGAAGGTCTAATTGTTTCGTTCTCTCTCTCCTCTCCCTCCTCCCTCCCTCTGTTCCTCGCACGGGTGGCGTTGAGGCTCCACTCTGCTAGATGCTTGGTGCTGGAGGCATTGCAGTCAGCAGGTGGACGCGGCCCTTGCTTTCACGAGCTTACGTTTCAGTGGGGGAGACACGTAGTAAGCAAGGAAATAAACACATTAAGTAGAGGTAAATGCCATGAATTAAACAAAGCAGAGTAAACAGATATGTTTTTAAATGTTGACACTTGCCACTCATAGTTGGAATTTTAAGTTTATGAAATTGGCTTAGCACACTTCAGATGGTAAGAGACTATGTGGTGGAGATATGGCTGGTGGTGGTAGAGAACGGGGAGAAGGGTGATGGAGAGCACTGAGTGGGGACAGCCCAGCCAGTCCCCTTCTCGTTATCTGTGATCCTTCATTTCCTGCGCTCCAGCACACGCTAGGAACAGAAAAGTAACTGTACAAGGGGGTTCTTCCTGGTCGTATTCTAAGTGTGTGTCGTGCTGTTGTTAGGTGCCATCAAGTTGATTCCGGCTCATAGCGCCCCTGTGCACCACAGAACGAAACACTGCCCAGTCCTGCGCCGTGCTCACAATCATTGTTATGCTTAAGCCCATTGTTGCAGCCGCTGTGTCAGTCCATCTCGTTGAGGGTCTTCCTCTTTTTCGCTGACCCTGTACTTTACCAACCATGATGTCCTTCTCCAGGGACTGATCCCTCCTGACAACATGTCCAAAGTATGTAAGACATAGTCTCGCCATCCTTCCTTCTAAGGAGCATTTTGGTTGTACTTCTTCCAAGAAAGATTTGTTTGTTCTTTTGGCAGTCCATGGTATGTTCACTATTCTTCCCCAGCACTACAGTTCAAAGGCATCAATTCTTCGGTCTTCCTTATTCATTGTCCAGCTTTCGCATGCATATGATGCGATTGAAAATACCATGGCTTGGGTCATGCGCACCTTAGTCTTCAAGATGACATCTTTGCTTTTCAACACTTTAAAGAGGTCTTTTGTGGCAAACTTGCCCAACACAATGCATCTTTTGATTTCCTGACTGCTGCTTCCACGGGTGTTGACTGTGGATCCAAGTAAAATGAAATCCTTAACAACTTCAATCTTTTCTCTGTTTATCATGATGTTGCTTATTGGTCCAGTTGTGAGGATTTTTGTTTTCTTTGTGTTGAGGTGTAATCCATACTGAAG